AAATAACATCTATTATCAACATTTTCATCATTAGTTGTTCTTCTTTACTACACTTAATAACATGTATCAAAATTGTCATATTTGCAGAGAGCTATCATTGAAGGAGACACAATTGAAGACCTATTGAAAACATATGCCAAACACTGGATGAAACCATATAAAAAATTAAAATATGTATACTTCATTCCATATTTCTTTCACATGAAATACTAAACTATTTATTTAACTACATTTGTTTTACACATTTAATACAATATTTTTCTTCTGATATATATATGTGCCAATTGAAGAATATAGAGGACACTGGTATTTAATGATTCTTAGCTTAGAAGACAATGTAATATACCATTTGGATTCTTATCTGAAGGAGGAAAGAATTGGACATAGACGTGACAACATGATGCGAATTGTATGTCATAATTAACTCCAAATAAATCAACCATGCTAACTTCACTATCAATTTCATACATACTTTTTTTTCTCTTTCAGTCCAATGTCATAATACAAATGATGAAATCAAGTTTTTACCCTCAAGATTTTCTTAAAGAATTAGTACATGGAGAAAACTGGGATATTTTGCAACGAAGGGCAATTCCAAATTGTGGCCATAGGTAATAAATACTAATTTACTTTACATTTGTTTTTCATAATCAATTTTACATTGACAATTTTTTTTCCAATGCATAACAGTAACAACTCTGTTATTTGGGTTTTACAATGGATGGATATGGAATATGCATTTCAACCAAACTTAATCAAAGTGGTGAGCAAATAATGCAATACAATTCAAATTACATTTTATTTTACATATGCATATTAATTTATGTCAAACAATGTCACATTTTCAGAGCCTTAATGAAGAAACTGTTCGAATGAAAATTGCCTTAGATTTGGTTTCTGGTGATCATAATGAATGTAAAGACACCATCCACATCAGAGCTGCAGAATTCTGTCAAAATATTAGACTTTCATAAATTCAATTCAGACAAACAAATTCAGGAATGAATCTACAGGTTTAGGATTAATATCATGTGTTGTGCTGCACATTTTTGGATCCTTATTCTGGATGCAAAAATTACTATCACTTGGGCCAATTATTTTTTGCTTCCTTTTTTTTGGATATATATATTGCAACAGATCCAATATAATTGTACCTTTCTTCGCAAGTTTCAAAGACTCACCCAAACAATCACATTTTTGTGTATCATATTTTGTGATTTATTAAATGCAATGAATCCAATATAATTCTACTTTTAATGTAGTATTTAAACATGCTTTTTATTATATTCTACATCCAAAAACACACGAATCCATTTTTAATCACATGTTTTTTTATTATTTTAATGCTTAACAGTAAAATAAGTATTGATTATTGACATTATTAAAACACTATTTGAGCCATTAACAACTTCCGATCAATACCTAAATACCAATTTCATCTGCTATAAACATGCACAAATCCATACCCCATTAAGAACTATGAAAATTTAACAAACCAATATCTTAAATATCTATATTTACAACGACATAATGCAACTTCAAACTGCTTCCACCAACATACCGTAACCAGATTCAATTTTCCACATCAGGCAAAATACATGCAACGAGTCTCATTTCTAAATGTTTTACATCCTACATGTTCTTCAACTGTAACCACATTCTAACTTAAACCACACTTTACGACACAACTGACCATAACTATAACCTATCTATCATATTTCACATAACCAACCCAAAAAATATATACTTCTGATACCAAATCGATACTAACTAATCTGTTCAATTTCACGTTTCAACAAATTAACATACAATATCAACTAACAAATACATATCTTCATTTCATCAAACTGCTAAATATCATTTATAATTCCTACTCGCTTCTTTAAGCAGACAAATATAATCAAGCTCAATTTTAAACACCATTCTCCTTAAACCATCAAATAATTTTCCCATAACTTTTGTAATTATTAATAACACACCTCAAAATAAGGTATTATGCTACACACCTCATTCATCAGGGAGTTGGAAACCTATCACAAAATTTGTATTCTGCTAACAAACCCAACATTCTACAACAATTCACAACATTAAGGATTACAGAAACACCTAACCATCACGACCACCTGCTCATAAAGTCTCACAACTTATTCGACGTTCTTTAAGCTGTCGCTGTATCTCTGCATTCTTTACTTCAACTAACGAAATTTTGTGTTTAACAATCTATGGGGGGACAAACAACATTACAAACGTATACACACAAAATGATTTAGCGACTTCATAAACTTCCTAAAACAATAAGGTACCTAAACTTCCTCAAATGCCCCACCAACATCATCTCTGTAAAATACAACCTCAGATTGCATTTCCTGAATCTGACTTCGCGTTCTCTGCATACCACGCCCCACTGTGTTACGATTCATCTAAAACTAAATTTCATATAATCAAATCTAACAAAAATGAAATTTGTCAATAACATTTTTAGAAAAAGGGACAAAATGGAGTAACCAACATAATTCAATGCTCAACCAACAATACCATTACCCTAAACCCAATTTTCAACAAAACCAAACACTAAAGCTACATTCACCAACCTCTAAAGCACCACATATGTTATCTTAAAATTACAAAAAAAAGGTAGAAGAACCAAACAAAAATGTAAACAAACAAAAAACCAAAAAATCATCCATCAACGATGTTCAGCCAACGACAATCTTCTTCTTCTGCACAATGCCCTTCACAAACGCATCAACAATCCGCTCTTCTGACTCCACAATCAACAAACCCTTTACCTCAAATCTATGGCTCACGGAAACTAAAATAGCAACCAATAATGCATAATGTCTTTGTCATTTGCAAAAGGCTTCGTTGTTTACAACCCATTTGTTTAGGTGTCAAAAATCACTCAAACGGATTTTTGGACGGGTTGCGGAGTGCGACAAACAAAATAGGACGCCCGTGCGGCGGCGGACTTCACCCATATGGTTGCTAATAGGGAACCGAGACAATCAAAACACCTCCAGGTGCTATTACCACCTCAGTTACGGTCATAAACGGAATCCTACAAAATACAGAACAATAAAAAATTTCAAAGGACTACTCTGCAATTCTAAAATCTTACTCATTAAATTATAATCTCAACCGTTAATTTTTTTAATATTATATCTATGGTAATTATTCATTCACCACCTATGCACCACTTGTATAAGTAGTCCTTCAGAGAATTCACCGTCTCGAAAAATATAAAGAAGAATTGATTTGTTAAAAATGCCCCTAAAATAAATATTAAAAAAACTTAAAAACAAAATATGTGGCTGCTGGGATTCGAGCCCAGGTCTCCACGGCCACAACGTGGAATTCTTACCACTAAACTACAGCCACTTTGTTGCTAATAGGTTTGTAAATTTCTATTATATACTAACTATTTATTCTTGATTAGAACTAAAATACTGAAGGCCAGAACTATAAACGATAAATGTGGGAATTACACTTATCATTCATTACATATGGTTGTTCTGGGTGAGTTGTGAAAAAACTGAAAATAAGGCTTATATTATAAGCCGTTGTATAAATGAACAAAATTATCTTTTGGGTGGTAAAAGTTTAGGGCACGAGAGAATGCTCAGTTTGAAGTTGGAAGATATTACAATTTACAAGTAGAAATTATATTTTAAAATACTTTGGTCGATCTTTCCTATTGTTTCATGTTACTATCGAGCTTAATCTAATTTACAAATAAAATCTAATGTGTAGTTCCTTTTTCTTGGGCTTGGATCCAAATTGCCACTGAGAGTTAAGGTTGTTGTTCTCAAGGAGAATGACATTAGGCCCAAAGATGCCTTGGCTATCATAATACATATAATGATACTAGCGTTTAATTTAATCTGTGTTAAAGGGACATGTATTTCGTCATAGACACAAATGTATTTTTTTTTCTTTGAAATATTTATATGATTGTATCAGAAATTTGTGTTTAAAAATTTAAAAAGAATTTACGTCATGTTAATATTAAACTTTTTTGTAACTTTGAAATATGAAACGATAAAATAATTTAATTTGTAAAAATATATTGTAGCTTTGTTATATATTTATAGTCCCATATATTTTATGTGGCTGCCGCGTGAGGAGGAACCTATATATTAAACGTTTCACTTTTAAATTTTGAGAATGATGCATTTTTATTTTTATCAACTCTCTAATATGTTACCAACGTTGTTTGATATAAATGATAGCAATTTGTGTTGCTAAACTTTGTTTAGCTTTGAATTCTAATCTCGGATATAAAATAAACTATGTTGAGAAGAGAATACTTATTTTGTGTATATTCATGGTCTCCAGTAGAGATTAACTACTAGTTTTGACGATGGATACTTCATACTAATATCATGATTATCCAAAAATATGCACCTTATGTGCATTCACGGATCATGGTCTCTGACAGAGATTAATTATTATTTTCGATAATAGATACTTTGTACCAATATCATAATTACTAAAAAAAACTCTCTAATATGTTTATTTGAGTAACACATGCGAAACTTAAATAGGGAGGCACATACACCTTTAATTTTTTTTCCTATGGATATGGTTTAGACGCAGTGTTTTAAAGCTGACAACCAAGGATTATCAACCTGCACTTGCGAAACATGATTTCATTTGATAAAACATTATTTTAATACAGACGAAAATCGAACCTGAAAATATCAAGTTGATCTCCTATATTTAGGATAGGCCTTAAAATTATTTGTTTATTTGAGTAAAACTAGCTTTAATTTTTTTTTTAAGTATACCTTAAAATGATGAAAAATGTGCCTTAAAAAAATAGCGAACACAAAAAATTTGAAGAAACGTCTTTCATGAATGAATACAACAAATAATTGGAAGGAAAATTGTTCAACGAATAAAATATACCAGATGAAACTTAATCCCAAGTGAAGAAAAAGGAACAATTGAAAAATGGATTACCTTGTAAATTAAGATTATTATAGACTTGTAGCAGATACTTTAGACCATAGAGATAAATATTTTATATATGTAGACATGAAAGTCAATACAAATGTATTATTGCTGGAATTACGAAACCTTAGTACACAAAATGGAAACCATACACTGACCAAAGAAAAACGCACACATATATAACTTCAATTAATTAGCCTGTAAATTGGTTTATTTAGGGTAGTTGCTAACTGGGGCTAGTGCAACCCAATCAACACACATTTTCAAACTATTATAATTCTGACCGAGTAATTAAGTTTTTTCTACAAACATTTTTAGAAGAATTTTTTTTTTTAAAAGTTAAAACTAGTCTATGCATAAATTAATTTGTAAAAGTTTTCTTCTATTAATTTTTTTTTTTAACTTATGCATTGATTTATTTTTCTTATTTTTCATCTTAAAACATTTCAAAAGAAGTTTATCCAAATACGTAAGGTTTTTACTTTATTCAACCTAAGAAATGATGATGTTTCTTTGCTTCTTTCTTCTCATGATGCTCATGGAAGGCAAATCCACCAGCTCCAACAGCGGCTGTGGCTGCAATCTCCTCCTCTATCTTGTGCCTATGGGCATGCTCTGGATCTTTATGTGCCTTGTGCTTCTCATGCTGTTGGAACAAAACATAAACAAAATCACCATCTTATTTAATACCTTCTTAATTACTTTTAAATAATTAGGTAGGTAATTCACAAAATTCAAATAAAAAAACAATTAACAAGCTTGATATATGTCGTTAATTAGTTGTCTTAAAGCAAGGAAATTTAAATAGAATCATAATTCAAGTCGCGATAATAATAAGGGTCTATTTAGATATTTTTTTAAATTGAACTGTTATCTCACGAAATTGTCATTAGTCTCTTGTATTAAAAAATTATAAGAGGAACAAGTAAATTTAATAATCGAGTTAAAACGAAAATAACACTCCAACATCAAATTAACAATTCTTTAATTAACACATCTTCGATTATGAATTATGTAAGTTACCAAAGCACAGGCACCAGCAGCAACTGCTCCCATTTCAGCAAGATGCTCGAGATGCCTGTGGTGCTTCTCTTCCTTTTTGTAATCAACCTCGTATCCGGCACCATCAAATGTGGTCTTGGAGTAGACCGTAGTGTCAATAGGCTGTTTTCATCCTTGTGATGATGAAAGTGGTGATGATGGTGCTTCTCTTCGGCCATGGTTGATTGCAAAGTGATCTTAAGAGTGGAGATACAATATGGTAACTGCTTTTATATATGTTAAGATGGTTTGTGTAGAGAGTTCAGCTATTTATAGGTGATAAAGAATGCTTCATTTTTCGTGGGTGGAAAAGTCTTATAAAGAAATTCTAATGAATGATTCAATGCCTAAGTTCAAAGCCTTTCAGTGATGACATTTTGTGGGATGACTTTTTGAGTGATGAACAAAAATAAAATTATGAGGTCTTAAATTCAAAACAGATAATATTTTATCATTGGGGAGATAAATGTGTATGAGAATCTCAATGCTCAACAAGAGCTTATGGTTGACTAGGTGACCAATTAGGCGAGTATGATGGTTGACAAGTAGATTAGGTAGGTTCGACTATAAAATTCTATGTTGAAAGTTTTTCTAATGATAGGTCCATATGTGATGAAGAGTCTTCTTAGTAACATGGAGGGTTAGGAGGCACATTCCTCTATCATGAGTTAATAGTGGCGTAGTGGTACAAGTACTTAGAACATGATTGAGCTCTATGAACCATCATTAAATATACTTAGATTAGCTTCTGATGCAAAGGGGGGCAAGGAGTTAAACCATTGTCCTTTATTTGAGAAGGTGATTGTTGGGATATAATTAAAGTCTCACATCATTCGAACAGTAGGATGAACATGAGTTTATAAACACGCAATTGTCTTCATTAACAAGAAGTCTTTTGCGTGATGACAAAAAACAAAATTACGAGGGTTTAGGTTCAAAGCGAACAATATCTTATTAATATAGAGGTGTGTGTGAGAACTCTCAATGCACAACAAGACTTAAATATATTTTTAGTCTTTTAAATTTAAGATAAATTTAACTTTGGTCTCCCAAATTTTAAAGGTGATATTTTTAGTTCCTGTAATTTAAAAAAAGAAATCTTTTTAGACCTTATGGTTAAATTTCGTTAATGAATCCGTAAAATACCGTTGCAAAAAATTCACCAGCTAATATCTTTGTCAGTGAAAACATCATATTAAATCCAATTGATGCTGCATAAGTGTTTTAATTTGTTACTGTCAAATATGTTACTTGTGACTTGATGAACTAAAACAAGATTTTTGATATTACATGGAATACAAAAATCAATTTTAAATTTGAGGGAGCAAAAATAAATCTACTCTAAATTTGTGAGACTGAAAACATATTTAAGCCTAAATTATATATAATTCTCTCAAATTTCTTATACTTTAGAAAGATATTGATACTTAAAAAAGAGAGATTGATTTCTTATATCCTAAGATACATTTGGTGAAATTAAAATTTAGAAGTGTACTAAATTTGGAAGACATCTTAACTATAATATTTTTTTTTATTTTTTTTATCCATGATAATTATAATGATAGTAATTGGTGTGACTAATAATCTTGTATACATTATCCCAATCTCACATCACTAAGTTACGCTAATGGTTCACTAGGAATTTGTTTATGTACATTTTATCTTATATATTTATAATTTTTTTTTATAATAATTCATTTAAAATGTGATTTGAATTCAACTTAAACTTTATGTGTTTGAAATTTAATCAAATGATATATTATTTGGCATGTCATGTATAATGTTTTTATCCATATCATTAAATTACTTTCAAATGCAATAATTTCATCCTTATATATAAAAGACATTTTTTACTTTTTTTAAAGACTATCTTCTAATTGTGAACTATATTAATTATATCTTTTTTAAAATATCCTTATTTAATTTGATTAATATTTATTTTAGATAAAAAATAATAAATATTTGAAATTACTTAGATAAAAATTCTCTCTCTTTCTCTCTCTCTTATTTAGATTGAAAAAGATATATAGACACATGGATTTATCTTTCTAATGAGATATATCTCTTATTAAGATTGAAGATAAATAATAGGGACATGATAATATACACTTTCAATCTAAAAGTTCTTACTAAGTAAGACCTTGGTGCCATTGAGATAATTAAAAAAAATAGTATATAAGGTTGTTTTTAAAATCAAAGATTAAACAAAATTGGATAAAATTTGTTTTTAGTTTCTCTAAAATTTTCAAAATTTAATTTTAGTCTCAAAATTTTTTGAACTATTTTGGATTCTTTGATATGAAAATGTATCACTTTTGGTTCTCAAAAAATTTAAATTGTGTTAATAACTAGTTATAAAAAGTGTATACATCACAAACAATGAAAAAAGATGAATCTAGAGGCTATACATGGAAGACTGTATAATTGAGATGACTTAAAGGAACTAATTAGTATTATCTATACCAATAAGATGAATTTATTTTTAAGTAGCTCATCACTTAAGAACTTCATAGTTAAACGTGTTTAACTTGGAGTGATTTGGAGATGTGTGACCTTCTGGAAAATTTCTAAAAAAGTGTGCATGTAAGGAAGAAACAAGTTGAAAAGGTTGTGTTGGTTTGTGTGGAAAATCATTGACCCTAAAGGCAGATGAACATCTAAAAAAGGGCACTGCATGGAGGGTTTTGATTGATGAAGGATTCTGACCAGCGAGTAGTTGTATGAAATGTCATTGTGTGAAGTGTCATGGAGTATAGCTACTAAGAGGTCAAATATGAGGAGTGTTACAAATAATATCGAAGCAAGTTCTCTCTCCTAGTATGGTGCAATACAATGACAAACCAAGCGAAAATTTGTAGACTTGTAACACCCCGAACACAATAGAATGTGAGGGATCCAAATGTTGCATATGTGGTAGATTTTATAGTTGAAGATGATTTTAAAAAATTAATTAATATTATTGATTTACACCAACAAGATGCATTTATTTTTTGATAGCTCATAATTAAGCCGGCTTAACTGGGAGTGATTTAGGAATGAATGATGACAAAACACACTAAAAAATATTATGTTGGTTTATAGGGATAGTTATTAATTCCAAAGGCAAACAAACATTTCAGAAAGAACTATCCACGAGGGGTTTTGACTAGTGAAATGTCAACATGTGAGGTGTCAACGTGTGAAGTGTCAAAGAGTGTAGTTAGTGAGATATTAAATCTGAGAGGTGTTACAGAAAGTGTCATCTAAATCACACTGTGAACAAAAAATGGTTCATTTTGGTCCTTTTCAAATATTTTTTTAATTCCTCTAAAGTTATAAAAAGTCAATTTTAGTCCTTTAATTTTGTTTTGTACTATATAAGACTAATTTAAAAATGCATCATTCTTTTTTCTTCAAAATGGTTTAAATATCTCATTTAAATTATTTAATCTTTTAACCACTATGTCAACATGAGTTAGTTCATCCCTTTTTCTATACAAATATATTTTCACCAACACTATATGCAATGTAGCAATTAATGAACAAAATATTTAATAATTTATTAAGTCAAAAGATGATCTTGGATCTCTCAAGCTTTAGAGTTTCAATGTTAATAAACAAAACACTTTTATAAGAGAAAATACTTTCAAAAATATCTTTGAAAATAATGTTTATTAAATGAAGTGTAATATGCATATCGTCTATAAGATGATGTAAATAAGATGAAGCATACAAATTATCTCATATACATTAAATGCTTGTTATTTATTGGAAATAACAAAAAAATGTGTATTGAATGCTTCATTCCTTAACAAATTGAACTAGAAAGTCATCTTTGAACTTACAAATCTATTAAAGAGAAAAAATATATATGCTTTCGGTTAGAATCAAGATCCTTGAAATCACGGAGAAAAATATATAAAGTCAATGCTACAATTGCTCTATGTTGACATTTTTTATACAAGCTCCATTTGATATGAAAAGTTGATAAGTATATTTCTTGATCAATAAGAGATACCATTTAGTGAAATGCATTTAATGTTCGCATTAAATGAGTCAAACGATTACCTGCCGTCATAAGGAAAGACGATGAAGATAGATGAAACAAACTTGTGAGCTAGGCTCAAACTGTTTCAACAGTCATCTTCGTCGAGCTACTATATAAGAAGACTCAAAGCACAAGAAAGAAGAGAGAATGTGTATATAGATACACTTGTACATAAACTTTTACACTTTGTAAAATACACTTGTGTACAAACTTCATTCTTTCTTGTAAAAGCTTACTGCTCTATATTGGTTGTATAACGTCTAAATGAGACGAACATAACATCTATGTAACTTTCATAACCATTGTTCTAAGGTTGAGTATGAAGAGACTTGTCTATAAAAAAATACTTGTTTTGAGCCTGAAGAGACTTGATTGTAAAAGAATACTTGGTTGTTAAGTTAAGAGAGACGTTGTTAAAAAAAATATACGGGTAGTTGCTTGAAGAGGCAAGTCAATAAATACTTAGGATTGATTTAGAAGTGACTTGTTGAAAGAATACATGTATCTTTGTTTAAAGATAATGGAACTCAATATGGTTAGATTGAAAATTGGACGTAGTCTTGGTGGTTGAGACAAGCCAGTATAAAAATACCAGTGTTTCATCTGATTACTCTTTGCAATTCATCTGACTAGTGTTACTACTTTACTATGAAAATGTGCTAGTTTTTGATACATACTATTCAACCTCCCCTTCTGATGTATATCTTTTCTCTACATAATCTGCCCTCAAAAGGAAAATGGAATTTATATTAGAAGTGTTTGTTCGAAGAGTAAAATCAAACGCTCATCGGATTACTGTCGAGGAATATGTACTTAAGGATTCCATGAGTTTCATAGGAGCACCATTCATAGGTAATTAGATGGTTATTGGGCCTACTTGACTTATTTGCAAGGACAACATTTATAATGATGCTTGACATGGGTAAACTTATAGAGACTCTAAAAGGCTTGCATAGCAGCCTAGTTATTAGGATGAAGTTGGGTGGGGCAACGTTAAGAACTCTAAGAACGCTAAAAAATGGATTAAAAGGAATAGTAATACCAAGGTCTTGGAAGGGAACATCATACTTAAAAAAGAAGTGTCTTGTGTCCTAAGGAGTTTTTTTTTTTTTTTTTTTTGCATAAAGACATAGTGTAGATCAGGAGAGAAACCGATTTTTCAAAATCTAGCAAAAATGGAAAAATGATCTTTTGTGACAAAAAAGGTAGAAATTTTTACAAGGTTTATAAAGTTTTGAAGGGTTCTTGTATTGTTCAAATGAGAATTATAGGTGGCAATCTCTTCATGAACCCATTCAAAACTAGACACAGTTTTGGATTTACTATTATACTCAAGACAAGTCATTAGGCTGGTTTGAAGACTCAACTACAACATTGGAGAAAATGCTACTGGACAAAGAGGATAAGTCATAAAAAGTTGATGATGAATCAAAAAAGAAAAAGAAGAAGAATGACTCATTTTTACCTTTGAGTAAGGAAAACAAAAGAGCGTTCAGGTGAAGAACAAAAGATAGCAGCAAGGCACTTAAATCTAGAACAAAAGATATCAGATGAGTACTCAATTGGAGATCAAGAAATTTCATTGAGGTATTCGGTCTTAAAGTAAGGGGATTGATAAAAATGAATTCTTATTTATAATAAGATAAAAGGATGGTGCGAAAGATTGCAGCCGTTGGATCAAGGTTGAATAAGCAAATGTCATTAAAAGACTCTTCATATGCTTTAAAAAAGTGTAACCCTTGTTTCAAGAAGGAAGATGAAAAGACATGACGATTCATAAGAAAGTTATTGTTAGGAAAATTAATGATTCATAATGTATATCAAGACTATGCAAAATGACAAGGTTACTAGGTTTTCAAGATTTTATGATTAAAAAATCTTGAAAGCTTAGGGGCAATGTGTACTCAAAGGGTTAATTGGTTGAAGGGTAAAATCAAACACTCTTCAAATTTCTATCGAGGACCATGTAATTAAGGACTCCATGAGTTGTGTAGAAACATCATTCAAAGGTAATTAGATGATTATTGGGCCTACTATTAGGACCCAAGCCTGATAAGGTTAGTATAAATAGTACATATTAAGGAGAAAAAGGTAGTTTTTGACTACATTTATTATGCCATTTATTATGTCAACTTGTCAAAGACCAAAAATTATCTTTTTAAGTTGATCCATATATGTCACCTAAATTTTAAGCAATTCCATTAATATTTACTCTAATACAAGTTTCTATCAATAAATTGTTTAATTCATAAATATCTTTTCTCTCTCTTCGGTATTTTGTATTTTCTCTCTTATATTTATACACATAAATGATTGCTTACATAAACAATTTTATCTAATTTTAAACGATCTAAAATCCCATGACATACTAAAATAATATTTTTATTATTAAGCCATCATAATAACTCTCATACAAGATACTCTAATAAACTACGAAGAAAAAATATATTTATTTATTACGATCGAAACAACGTCTTTCAATAGTAGACTACATCCTATATAAAAGGTACTAAACATTCTTTCAGTAATACTCTAGGACAAATCAGTCTTAGTAAACTATAGATAGGACCAAGAATTTATGTGTCAGAGACCGAGTGGTGAATAAGAAACTCACCACACCTCATAGCTCCCCCACCACCATATGACTTTATTGCAACCTGCATTGGTCAACTTGGCTCAGCTGGACGGACACATGATGGTTTAATAGGTTTTGGTGTTGGGGACCCCAAAATGTACCATCAACACATAAAGTTCCATATGGTGAGGAAATTCCAGATATTAAAGCAAATGTGGTAATCAATTGTTCTCCAAAATCCAAATCCAAAAAACAAAAAGTGACAGCAACGATTTGAAAGAAAATGTAAGACCATCTTAATACAAGGTATAACTAATCATGTCTTAAAGCTACTTAATACAAGGTAGGATCATGTCTTAAAGATACTTTAGAGTCAATCAAATTGATCAGTTCCACCCTATTCACCCTGATCTATCTCACACATCTAATAGTAGCAGTAAAGTAATGGTGAGCACACCTATTAGAAGTCCAAATGATCCAATCATCACCTGCAGCCACCCAAAATAAAGTATTATGACTACTCAATGATCAGTTACCACCAAAATATGAAGACAATGGGGGATCAAAAGTGAATACTGGTATAGTACTTGCAGTATTTGCAATAATTAACACAATTATGTGCTTCCTTGGTCACAAAGGATATTAGTGTGCAAGTACATTAACATAAATAAAAAACCAACGGATACTCTATAATAATGTTCAGCTTCTATAACAAAGTTTGAAAACTTTGCATTGACAAATATGCAGAAATACTGTCTATTTATTATAAAGAAAGTATGAAGAGAAATGGAAATATGTTGTTACATTTTTTATTATTTGATAACAAAGTTTGGAATTATATTTGGGGTTGCGGTTTTATTATGAATTTTGATATTACAAAAAATTGTGAACAAAAACAATTTCATAATCTAATGATATTGAATTGGATCTCTTTAATTAAAGTTGAGATTGAATTTTATGAATAAAAATAAATGCCACTGAGAGAAGAGATTCTACCAAAAAGTTGATAGAAATTAATTATTAACAAAATTATTGAATACTTCATACATTACGGTAATAATTGTGGTTACGATCTATTTTTTTTTCTTTTCAAAAATGCTGTCAACTGAAATTTGTTAGAAACTATAAAATTACGCGAGTCTTGTATCTTATTTAAAGAGTTTTACTTATAATTGTATAATTTTTTTTTAGTAAATTTCAACTAATAACAAAAGAGTATTTTTAAAGGAATGTCATAGTGTTCTGTGAGCACTCATTCTCATTTTGTAAAACCTTGTTTGATAGAATTTATGCATACCCTACTAACAAATTTGAGTCCTATTTTCTATTCATTTCTTATTCAGATGAACACATGATTTTTATTAAAATAAATATTGAGGAGACCTTATGAAAAGAATGATGTGTAAAAAAAAAGTGAGTGAGAGAGAGGCACCTGTCCTTGATGGGCACTAGAGGTGGGAAGAGGGTGTATAGCAGCAGAGTCAACTTCATCAGTGGGAAGAGGAACTGCAGGGTTACTGGTAATGAAGGGCAAGCTGCCACTTTTATAGGGTGCCAATGGATCAGTCACACTTGGTGAAGGTGAACCTGCTTGTAGAGGATAAAAAGGAGAAGATGATGGCACTTGACCAGAGAATGGAGCTGCTGAAAGTTCTGGTGGCATTGCTGAGGCATGTGGTGTAGCTGCTACTAGTGAAGTGACCTTAATTGCTAGCTTCTGAGAAGTACCTTGACATGCTTTAAACGACCCATCATTGAAGCTAAAGTAGAAGAAACCATGGCGTGATGGATGCCACTGAAACATTAACATATAATTGGTATAAAAAAAATACTACATGTATTTTATATTTTTAAGATATTAGACATATTTGATGTTTTTTTTATTATTTTCTTTATAAAGTATTAGAACATAAGACTTGGTCAACTTGTAGTTATTTAGGTTTATGGTAGTGGTTTCTAATTTTTCATTTTGATAATTCTCATGATAAATGTTTATATTAAAATCAACATAAATTATTGAGACGGATCTTCCATTCTGATTTGAGTAACATAATAATAAAAAAAAATTGAGCTACTACATTTGAGTTTTATTCATATATAGAAATGGCATTTGGATACAATATTATTTATAGTTTTTAACCCTTTTCTGCATAGTCAATGGTTTTGAAGCACTTAGAAAGAAACCAGATGAAAAGTTTCGAAGGGCCTTACCGTGTAGGAGGCAGTGTTGGGGTTGGTGAGAAGAGTGGCTTGCGTGAAATTGCAGAGATCAAAGGCTTTCTGGTTCTTGAAAATGTAGATGTTGTAGTGTTGCTTGTGCTTGAAAACTGAGACAGAGTAGGCAAAGCAGAGAGTAAGTAATGTTAGTTAATTGCTACTTGCTAGTGTTAAAAAAAAAAAACTTATTTTGAAGATCCAAGTTTTTGTTTTCTTGAGTATTATAATTAGTGGCACTCACTGATGGAATCTCCAATGTGAACAGTGGGGTTCTTCCACTCTGAAGACCCATCAACTAGAATGGTGGTGCAATGAGAAGAGTGGAACAGGAATAGTAGAGGTAGAAGAGTGAAGAAGAAAATGGGTAGGGACATTATCATTAATATGCTTTGGTTTTGAAGGAAAATTTGGGGACTATGGTTAAATAAGAGAGGCTCTGCAGCTTTTATGTTTATATATCTCTGGCATGGTCCACTTCTATGGGAAATTATGGAATAGAAAGAGAAAAGAAAAATGCATGTAAAAAATGTTTGGGTGGGGAAAGAGAATTATTGGGGAAGGAGACAACTAAATTGTCAGAAGGGTTGGGCTTTTAGTTGGTCTGTTGGTGAAAGTTTGAATAGGTGTTTAATACTATTATTTTACACAATAAAAGGTTGTAGTGACTTTTCTTCTTCTTCTTCTAAACAGTTAGGGTTACTTTCATTTATGAATATTTTTTTAATTAAGTTGAATAACTCTTTTTTATTATATCGATTTTTATAGGAATAAAATGATATTTTTAGTTTTAAGTTGAATTCTAGACTTTGGTTAACTATCTTTGAGTATTATTTGAGTTTAGTTATATACATTATATGCAAAGATTTTACATAGTTAATTAATTGAAAACAATTTTTTTATATGATTTTTAAAATAATTATTATAAGATTTGGATGAGATTATTTTATGCTATTTGTCTGAGGAAATATTTTATAAGAGTTTTTTTTTATCAGAAGAGCATAATCTAATTTTATTCATAAGTTTTTATTTATAGAGAAAATTTGTTATACAAAACCAAATATTAATATTATCCTATTCTAAAAATAAGGAAATAAATCCTAAAATAATAAAAACAGATTAAATCTAAATATTTGAAATATAAATAAAATATTCTTATAAAAAACTAATTTATTCTTCTAAAGATATTTAGGCATATTTTCAACACTCCTCCTTAACTGAATATCTTTATCATCTAATTTAAATTTAAATTTCAAAATCTATTTTTTCTCTTTTTGATCAGTTTCTTCTTTTTTGTGATTTTTGTTGCAATCCTTCTTGAGTAAGACCACTTTAGCATTTGTCTTGAACTTCTCTTTTGAAGGTGATTTTTCATCATCTTCATTCTCCTCTTGATCATCAAGCTTCTTTTGAAGACATGTATCTTTGTGCTCTTCACTTGTATCTTCATTTATAATTGATTCCTCCTTCTCCAAATTTAAAGCAAAACTCTTGCCTTTCTGTTTGTAGTAGAATTCGTCTATGAGTTCTTTTTATTTGAACTAGCACAAAATTGTTTCAATTTAGGTATTTTACAGTTAACTTTCTTAAAAGCGGAAAGATTATCAAACAGAGTGACTAATAAGCATTTGTTTCCAAATTTTCGTAAATAATTATCAAACAACAATTTTCATGCATATAGACACTCAAATGAACGGAATGAACAATACATATATTGGCAATACATATCATTGTCCAATTTACATAATTATCAAGTTACAAAATGATGATTTTAAGAACGACAAACTACGAAATACGGAATTAAACTAAAATACACTAATTCTATGAAAAGAAAGCAGAACGTGGCCAAGAAACCATACCCAACAACAATCCCATGCACGGAAGCCATATGCGCAGGCAGAAAGTGCTTACAAAAGTGCAAGTATGAAATTTCTGACCCTTGTGAAGGGTATGTTTCTCGTATTTATAGAGTTTAGTCGAGAACGGTTAATCCTGTGCAAGTACGTCGTGGGTGCGCAACCGTTGTCCACTACGCTAATGACGTGTAACTTCTCAACCATTCACCCACGTTCCTCAACTTTTTTCTTCAATTCTTCGACCAAATAACTACCTTAGTGTAACCACTCAACCGCTCAAAACCTCCAATAACTCCTTCTTTTCATTTCTCGATCAATCCTCGAATAGGTATGCTTATGGTTTCTGATATTCTTTTTTGGTAGATACCTTGTCCAACCTCCTCATTTTCGAGAATTTTCAAATGTTTTTCGAGTGGCCCTAACAAATGCCCCCTAGGAATTTAGTCTCGATGAACGTACTAGGGTGAAGGAGAACTAAATTCCTATCGAGAATCTTTCTCTAATCTTTCTTGAATTTTCTCGTTTGTTAACAATTAGAGTACCTTGTATTACTTCGATAAAAACCTACTCTGACCACCTATTAAATGCAATTACCGTTTTATTTGACATTGATTGCTCTTATCATGAATTTTGACAGTGCATGCTTACGTTTCCCCAAAATCCTGTCCGTGAAAAACGTTTTTGCAACTGATTTGAATTGATATGTTGACCCGTTTTACCCTCAGGCCCATTTGTCTTTTTTAAAAATCTTTTACCCTAAGATAAAAATCACTTTTCACCACTTCCTTCGTGCACAAGTCTCCCTTTTTTCCCTCGCTCTTGATTTTCTTTGTTGTTCTTGCTTTCTTCAACACTGCCATGGCTTCCTCCGCCGCTTCAACCTCTGCTACTGCCTCCATTCTTTCTCCTACATTGGCTATTGCTTCATCTACACAATCCCTTTCACTGCTAACAACCAATGCCACAGTCTGTACAGTAAAAGATGGTGATGAGACCTTCATCCCCATCCCAGGCATGGAACAAGCAAGCCTCAAGATTTTTCATTCACAGGTACTTCTCCCTTTCTCTCTTGAAGATGGCACTACTCATGTTTTTTTAGGTCCGTTCATGGGTCAGAATAAGAAAAAATTTGGCAATACTCTGCTGCCTGAAGATTCTTCTACTTTACCATTTATTTACTCCCCACAAATAGACTTGACCCTATTTGGAGATACCACTAAGATTTTTAGGGCGTTTCCTACCACCAAAGATAGGCATTTATAAGGTTAGCACGTGTAAAAGGTTCCATGCATTCTATGTAGGTAGATACTGGTATATTTGAATTCATTCAACTAGCTAAGTTTGACTTGCACCTCATTGACCCTCAAATGCTTCTTTCTGCAATTTTCTTCTGGAATAGAGAAACTCGGGCTTTCGAGTTTCCATGTGGTTTTGTGTCTCCTACCCTATTAGATATTGCTACTATCACTGGATTAGCACCCATAGGGGATAAGTTTTACCAGATGCATTCGAGGAAGAGATTTCTATAAAGGAGACTTCTATTTCTTGGGATAAAAAGACTTACTTGGCTTTCATCAATGCCCATATGGGAAAATTGGATACTCCTGTTTCAACCTCAAAGCATATTGCTTTTTTAATGTATTGGCTGTCTGCTTGTGTTTTCTGCACTCCCTCTCTTAAGTTCCCAAATATTATTATACTTTGGCTCAAGCTTTGCATCTAAAAAAGAAAATCTGTTTGAGCAAGCTTCTGTTGGCCTCTCTATATACTTGTCTCGATGAAGCCTCGGAGAGTCTTTTCCGCGAATCTGGTCCTCACAATCTCTCTGGCCCGCTATGGTTATTACAATTGTGGCTCAACGCTATCTTGGAGAAGAAACTTTCACTTACTTCTTCTTTTGCTCCTGTATGTGAACTTGAAGGAGCACGTTTAACTACCCTTACACCTCGAAAGCATTCAGTCGACAATTTCTCAAAATATATTAGCACGATTCTCAATTTTGATAAGTTCACTGAAGACTTGGCTCCCTTCATACGTCCTACTTTAATAGGTCCTTCTTGGCTTCGACATAATAACCAGGTTGGAAATATTTTTCCGGATTCCGTTGGTATGTGGTTTGGCTTTTTATCATGGGATGTTATTCTATCTGGAATGCGGCAAAAAGATGTGAGAATCTATCCTTACCAACCCCAAATGTTTGCTCGAAAATTTGGCCTCTTCCAAATGAAACCCCTTCCACTTCGTCGTAAGGAAAGAATAGATGCTGATATTTGTGTCGAAAAAGGAGATTACAACGATGTGTTAGATTTTATCTTACATCTTGAGAAGCAACTTTTTCTTACTCCTTGCACCTTCTCTGCTTCTTTTCTAGTCTCGAAGTGTTTTCTTCGTTGGTGGTGTGAATATTATATAGACAAGATATTCAACTTCGATGATTTTTTAAAGAAGCTGATTAATTCTCATCTTTCTTCGCAGGGTCCGAAACTATCAGATACTTACAAGAACCGAACTATTATTTATCAATTCGAGAAATTTTTTAAAGTTTGTTATCGACCTGACAATATAGATCGAACCATCTTTGATGCATCTGTATCTTTATCAAAAATGGTACAAAGGAACATCCGCTCAAAAAAGGTTATTAATCCTCGAGGAAAAACTGATTTTGAAAAATTTTGCCCTAAAAATATTCCTCCTCTTCCAAATGCTCGTTTTGGTTTAGTCAAACATTTATCGCACCCTCCTTGGGTGAAGACACTTGATCCATTTTACCTCGAGCGCAAAGAAATTCCTGTAAAAGATCAAGTTACCTACACGAGATGTTCCGTGTACGATTTTCCTCGAGGGAGATGGTGGCCTTTATGTTGGGTCGATAACCGCAACCTTCCTCCTGGTAAATGTTTGTAACAACACAACTTCACTATTATCACTTTTACCATTGCTTGATTATTACTTCTATTTTGCATAGCTGCTGTTCCTCAAAAGGTCCCTCAACACCCTGACTAGACTACCCAATGGGAGAGTGATGATAATGACAGTTCTCCATTAAAAACTCAAAAACGAAAGACCATTTCTGACAAGTTTTCTCTGCGTTCTAAGGTATAATTTCTTTCTTTCAATCGAACTTACTTAAATACCATCTTTTCTGAGTATCTCTTTTCTTTTCTTTTTTCACAATTTCCTTTTTCCTTATCCCTTTATTTCTTTTAGGTTTCGACAATGAAGAAACTCGATAAAGAGAAAGGGAAACACTCCTAAACCGCTCTTGACACCAAAGGTCGAAAAACTTCTCCAAGATGCCATGAAGCCTGCGGCCAAGGTATTAAGTTTTTGCCCTCACTCCTATTCCTTTTATTTATCCGAATTCTAAAAAGAAAAAATTTCTCACCATAAGATATCGAGATAATCCAAATTTCTTCTTCTCGTGATGTCTCCAAGGACGCTCCACTTTCGACTGAGGATCCTCACAAGGTTTGAAATTTTCCATGACCTTCATCTCCAAAGCTTCATACTCCTTCACCCTCCCACCAAGATGGCATCGAGTCTTCTATGCCACCTCCAGTCTTGATTCTTTCTGATG